AAATACACCATTTATAAATTCTTCAAATATGTTCCGTATATCATATAAATCGAGTTAATATTCAGCAAATATAAGCTTAAAATGTCTTAAATTCTTGTGCCTCTCTCTCCAATTGTAAAAAATTAGCCTAATTTTATTAAACTTAAGGTCACTTAGGTTCCAGTGTTATTGCAATGTCAATGTAGACAATCTATGGCTAAACTAACAGAGATTCATTTTGTATTTAGTTTACTGATTCTGTATTTAGTTTACCACTGCTTTACTTTATTCATAAAATAAGCTCATCGAGAGGCACAAGAATTTAAGACATTTTAAGCTTATATTTGCTGAATATTAACTCGATTTATATGATATACGGAACATATTTGAAGAATTTATAAATGGTGTATTTAGATTAATATAGAAAGCATAAAATTGAAATCACAATGAACTAAATGCATAATAAATTGTAATAATAGAGATTCCGATGCGCTTATGTAGTACTTTTGATGGCACTGTATTGGATGGTCGAACCCATCAGTCTATACGCCACTGCATTAATGCCGGTCGCTCTCTACCCATTACTTAATGTTATCAGGTTTTCATCACTAATTCATTACAATTTAGTCTAATATTTAAAAAAAAACATTTTTATTAACAGCACAGCTCAAGTTTGCTCACCATATATGAAGGCTAGTATTCATTATACATAATACATTGTAGATTCTACAATGTAGAATAATATTTATTTTATATAAAAATTAGTGAAAAATACAAATAATAACTTAAGATTACAAATATTATTAAAAACAAATTAATGTTATAATTATATAAATGACATAAAACAGGCGACAAATATGATGTTTGTCGGGGGACTACTGATGGCAATAGCCATAGAACACAGTAATCTTCATAAAAGGATTGCATTAAAAACACTTCTTCTCGTCGGCACGAGTGTTAACAGGTATTCAATTACTAATACAATTAGACTCTGAATATAAATAATTTAAATTGCTAAAATAACAGAATAATGTTTGGCATAATGATGGTCACAATGTTCCTCTCCATGTGGATCAGTAAGTCATGACTGAAATTATAATTCACAAAAACCCTTATGTTATAGAATTGAAAAATATTAATACAATGATATGAACAGGTAATACGGCCACCACTGCAATGATGGTACCAATTGTTGAAGCAATGCTTAAAGAATTAGGTTAGTCTACTGTTAATGTATTTGTTATAATAATTATGTTAAATGAAATGTTTTACAAATAAATAATATTTCGCAAATATTGATGAATTTGTCAAAAATAATTCATAAGGATATTTTGAAGGATATCTTTATCTGAATGATAAATGTTTCATTTTTGTCTGTCTGTCCTTCAAATATACTGTATATTTATAGTCTAAAATCAATTTTTAAAATGTGTTGAAATATCAGATGAATCGCCTGAAGTACAGCCAAAGAATACAAATCATGACAAACAAAAAACAGCGACAATAAGAAAAGCATTATTGCTTTCGATCGCATACTCAGCTAATATTGGCGGCACTGGGACTCTGACGGGAACGGGAACTAATCTGGTATTGACCGGAATCTTTGACGAGTATTTACTTTCTATATTCTTATGCTTAAAACTAATCACAACAATCATATCAACTCATATTCAGTCCAATTCTAAAACGACACTTTCTTATACTAATTTTATTGACGTTTAATTAATAGATATAATGCTATTTTAATTAATTAATAATTGACAGATTTTTTTATACGAACATTGAAAAATATTACCAAAATTTTTTTAGTACAACAAGAAATTAAGTTATTTTTGTTTATAACTTCTCAATATGTTTATTTTTAATATAAAACTATTGCATAATTAAGATCTTATTCAATTCACGAGTTAATTAAATGTTAACTAATATAATTTTTATGCCAAACATTTTGACAACAATATAATTATTGTACATTTATATATCAATTGAAAAATAACTAAAAAGATGGTAATTGTGTGGCATTTAAAACAGTTTTCTTAAGAATCAAAAGTCTGCCAAAACGATAATAATTATGACTAAACTTACAAATCTACTTATTTTGTTGAATAATTTTATTGATCATTTAACAAGTTGTTATTACTAGTAATTATTATAATTAATGTATTAACACTACTACTACTCTACCATAAAAGCTATTCTACAACAATAATAACCACAGAATATATAAAATTCCAGATATTAGTGAAGGTCTGGGAGTTGACTGTCATATGACTTGCAGTGGACCTGATTTATGGGCTGTTCTTATTCTTTATGCCATACCTTCTTATAAATCATTTCATTAATATATTGACAATCATTTTATATTAAGATATTATATTCAACAGACATTTAACATTTTAAAAATGTTTAAACATAACGTAAATACAATGAAAGTATTCTCAAATGAAAGATCACTCAACTTTTAATTTCTCTTTCTTTCTTCTTCTTCCTCTCTTTCTCTTTATGTTTCAATGGGTTTAACAACTGATTGTGATCTTAAGTGCTTTAGGAAATACTGAGTACTTTAGCGTTAATATAAGTTTTAATTGCAAATAAATTAATAGATATTTCAGCTAATTTAAGTTTTATTATTTAAAATCACAAAAATCTTCAAAACTTTGACTATAATTCTCACCAAATGTTAAATATGATAAAATACTCAAAACATATCTTACAATTCAAAGGTCATAGACATTGAGATTTCGCACAAATATAAAAATGTATACAATGTTTGAATGCTATAAATTGACATACATATCAATATAGACTATTAATACAAACGTTTAATTCTTTGCAAATCTATCCCAATCTAGTCTATACCCCAATAGCAAAGATCTGACATTTACGCGATGGTTCGCTTACGCGGCGCCGGGAATGTTGATCTGTGTATTGGCCGCCTGGATATTCCTATATCTGGTTTTCGTTAGAAAAAAGTATATTTTTAAACATAGAGTCACCAAAACTTGATTTCATATTCTGCTCATCAAATCACTAGTAATAAAGATATGGACGAATCGAAGGACAAGATTAAAGAATTGATTGAACGAAAACATAAAGAATTGGGTTCTCTCTCGTGAGTAGTTGTCACTTATATTTGTAAATCAATTTGTGATTTACTTTAATAAACATATCGTTAGAATAGTTTGATGTAAATATTTTCAAAATATACAGAATCTTTAATGATATACAGAATCGATCACACTTTACCAATAGTTGTGTAATATTTTCTAATA